TATTATATGTGTAACTTGTAATATTGACAACTTAAATAAGTATGAGGTATATCTATATTAATATGACATGCACTTGCATATAATGAAATAGTATATTTCAATTTTTTGACCAGATATAGATGAGATTATATTATCATAATTTTGTTTTAATATTTTTTACCTAAGGAAGAATTATTGACTTGTAGAACTAGAGTGAGCATCGAGCCATCACCGTGCCAATATTGATGATTCACCATTCGGAAACCACAGAATATCCTGGAATGTTCAACTTCAAAATCAGAACTTATGCAGAATCATCTTTCCTCTGAAGGATTGCTACATATGTTGGCATGGTGGATTACAAACTACGCTGTATAAGGCAATGCTCACTCTAGTTCTTCCATACAACTCTATAGTCCTCACATCTGAGAAGTAATAACTCATCTATATCTGTCCATGATCTGTCTGAAAATTGAAAAGCAGGCAAATCTGTGAAAGGTGGGGGTTGAAAAAAGGGCTGATTAAATATTTTGGATGATCAGGCATGGAATTGTGATATTGCTGATTATGAAGAGAAAAAAAAATATCTTGCGGAATAAAAGTTACCAAGTGTCTGTTGTTGTTGTAACCTATGGTATTCAAGGCAAGAACAACCTCAGAAGGTGAAACAAGCTAAATAAGCCAGGAACAGAATGAATGAAAAAAGACAGAAAAAAACAACAATTAACCAACATAAATTCAACTTGGAAAATAAATATGTATAAATTTTCATTTAATACACAGCATTCAGTATATTAGAGAAGTTTTATATAGTATTACCTAGCAAGAAAAAAAATAAATTAAGAACAGCTAGAACATACAAATTAAAAAAACAACCTGTATGACACTTCTACACATGCTGGTTTATCACAAATGACAAAATGACATGCTTTAGTTTTTATTTTTCTACTATAACTCAGAATTTAAGTATTGTATAAACTCAGCTCAGAAATAATTTCAAATATTTGTTACAGAAACAGTTAAGGATTTAGCAAACCAGCATTTTTTTTCTTAATACCACTTTAACAATATTTTTGAAATTTTAAAGCTTTTTTATCTCATAAATATATCTGATAAATAATATCTGAAGGTACTTCTAATTATTTCTCCATTCATTAGAAACAGCGAATATAAGGGTCAAACTCACTACTCATAAGCAGGGGCGGATCCAGGATTTAAAAGAGAGGTGTTCAAAATGTTTTCCAAAAAAACCCCAAAATAAAATGGGGGTACTGGGGTCCTTTTCCCCCAAGAAAATTTGGATTCCTAGATGGCCGGAAGTGAGCTTTCCCAACTTCTGAGGAGTCTTTTAATGACCTTTAAGTTCTTCAAAATTCAAGGTTTTACCCCCTCTTGAGAAAAGGTCAAGTAATTTTATCTCATTCTTTAGGCCTATCATAGATGAAAAAAAATCAAAGACAGGCAATATATTATTATAATAATACCACAACATTGATTAGTTGGATATGTAGTCTTTCTTCCATGGATCGATGAACCGATATAGGCCTGAAGAACGCACTTTTGTACATAAATTATTACGACGGCGAACCAAGAACAGTGTGTATAATTTTAATATTTAATTGAAAACTAAAAGGGCTAAGCCTGTAATTGTCTGATCTTCCAACCTATGCCTAGGTAGGTTAGCATGCCTTTTGTAAGCCAGGACCCAGTTGTATTTTGTTACGTTTCTTCACAGACAGGGGTTCATCCGAACCCCTTGAACCCCCTGGATCCGCCACTGATAAGGTTTGTTCAATACATAAATTTCATTATTCATAAAGTTAGACATTTTTATAACTTGTTTCGTGAACTTATTTTTTTTAAAAGATTGTCAGAGGGTGAAAAAAAGAATAAATAAAATAAAATTTTGTTTCCTGTTTTGCCAAAACATCCACAAAAAGGAGAAAATAAAAATAACATTATATTGGTGAATGTAAACAGTGTAGTAATGGGATGGTTAAATGCTTTAAATTTATATGATTAGGAGGAAATATACATATCTTATTGGAGATTTTAAGGCAGTGGTAGGTGTAAAAAAAAATTTCCATTTTTTGTGGCGGCATGTGCACTAATTGTGCAAAAAATAAAATTTTATTTTGATTTGTAATCATCAATATTGGCGGGCCGCTAGTTCGCAAAAAAAAGGTATAAACAATTTTGCGCCTAAGTTTCACTATTCATAGGTTCGCCAATTCATAACATTAGCTTACCCTACACAAAAGGGTTGCTAGTCATAATCAAGAAAGAAGTATGCTAATCATAAAAAGAGGGACTGCTATTTTAAAGGTTCATTAGTCATAATTTTATTAAAGGGCTAGTTTTGGCAATACAAAATGTCAACAATTACCGCTATTCATAAAGTTTGTAGTTGCATTGGAAAAAAGAAGTCCACTTTAAATTGAAAAGGAGTTCGCTGGTCATATTTAATGAGTAACGAACCTTTTTTATATTAATGATCGTACATTTTTATGACATGCAAACCTTTTTATTAATAATAATACAGGAGGAACTTATACAGTGCCTTTTGCCAAGGGACAAAAAAGCACAATAAAAATAACAACCTTGTTTTGTGGTTATGTCATAGTGAAACCCTTCTTTTTGGTTTTATGTCTATCTGATAGTAAACGTTTTTATTAATAAGCAGAATTATAAATAATGATCAATGACTTGCCATTGTTATAAATAGTGGTGGACTATATGCAAATTGGAGTATTTCTAGGCATGCATTAAAATCTGTGATACAGTAATAGCTGTGATTTGGCCATATATGGGCATGATGATGACATATTATACCCATATATGGGGAAATCATGAATGTTGATAGGGTGGGAAAAGCTTTTTGAAAGCTTAAGTGCTGTACCAACAAGCACTGACACTTCTGCTATTATTATTATTATTATTATTGTTACTATTATTATTATTATTATTATTATTATTACTTATAGCTCATTACCACTCACTACAAATCATCTCAATTACATAATACAATTTTTACTATATATCATATATTATTATAATTATTGAAAAATTTACATTTAAATAAAAATAAATAGCAACGGCACAAAATTGATTTTAAGACTCATGCTTTATGTAAACATTAAATATCAATTTGTAATTTAAAGAAAACCACAACAGGTGGTGTAATCTCTGCCGACACTATGAAATGTTATGAGACAAATAACTGTGATATGAGCATATTTGGATGTAGTATTAAGACATTATCACACCCATAATTATATGGGCACACCACACAAAATTTGTCACATGAAATTTTATAGTGTAAACAAGTCTTCAGAGAAACAAAAACAAAAATGAATACACTTCAAGGTTTATCAAAAATACTTAAGCTCTATTCACACTATCAAATTATGTGACAAATAAATGTGATATGCCCATATTTGAATGTGATGTGACATCATCATTACCATATATAGGCGCATCAGACAAATTTTGTCACATAAAATTGTATACTGTAGTGTGGACAGGAGCTTTGAAGTGAAGTAAAAGTGAACTACATATGAAATGAAGAAGACTGATGTAAGAATGGAGGAAGAGAAGGTTATACCTTTAGAAGTGGAGTAAGAGCTGAGGCCTCTTCCTGCAGGTGTAAAGAAAAAAAAGAACCATGCACAATTGTCAAATACCGTGTGAAACTATACTGATGTACCTCAGAACTACAAGAATATAATAATTGAAGAGTGGCCCTTCACCACTAAGCCACAACACATACGATATTGTTCCAAAGATCCCATAAAAAAAACAAAAAAACAGTGCGAACATAAATATACATATGCGTTTGTAGAACAACACATGCATTTGTGGGACAAGCGTGCATTTCTGGCTCTCTTCTGATTGGTCAACTTTTGTGTTTGACACTCCGAAAAGGCCCATGATACACATAAGTGAGACTGCCTTTAGTACCAATTATCATAATGATCTATGTACATAAGGTAGTGGTAATACAATATGTTCCCTAAAAGCAAGATATCAGTCCAGGTGTCACATCACATGCGGTCAACAATTAAGGTGTCCTACCACAATGTGCAGGTGCTTAATTGGTACAGTCCAGGTGTCTAACAAAATATCCAGATGACCTGTCATGTATACTGGAGTAGTCAAGTGGCCTAAACCTTGGTCATTGGGCTATTTATGTGGTATAATTAGCTGGGCTGATAATTTTTTTTTTGGATCTTTAGGTAGATCATCAGAAGATCTAGAAAATATAAAGTGCATGTAAACAAGGGCATATATGTTTTAAAACATCACAGATGGATTAGAAGCTTACTTAGACCCAGGGGAAGATTCGGAGTAGATCCAGGATATTGGAAATAAAAATAGGAAGAATGATGCCCTGTGTAATCCCCTTCCACACTCTAGATCTGCTGTAAACTTTCATATACTATTACAAAAGGTAATTGATTGGATAACATTCTCAGGAGGGAAAAATCTCTTTAAAGAGGACGAACATGCATTACGATTGTAACAGGGCATAGGGCCTAATACAAAAACAATTATGAGTAATTTGATAGAACTAGAAGGGAAACAGCAAGATAAACTCTATTATATTACAGTATGACCTGAGATTCAAACTATGAACATAGTTTGAATCAGCTTGCTGGGGATTAAAGCTCAAAACACCATAAGACTATGAGCCTATTAAAGTCACTGTTTGATTGATGAATACAACTTTAGACATAGCCATTCTAATGCCTTTACCTACTGCAACTTATCTCATAAGGAGAATTAGAATCATATTGAACCTTAGATTAGATATACAAAATGCTGCAACAATTGTTCATTTAAGAATAAGCATGAAACTTTTAGGCTTTAAATTGGCTTTTAAAAACAAAATGCTTGCACAAGCACCATAATATTAACATAAAACCCCTTTAAAGCAACTAAAAAAATTCCAACTTAAATACACACAAATCTTTTGTAGATACTCTTTTGAATGCAATATAAAAGTGCAAAGGTCATATCAGAGAACAACATACCAGAGAAATGAGATAAGGAAATTTTACAGATGAGCAACAATAAAACAAATTATTATTATTATTTTATATTTTCTTACTGATGACTGAAAAAAATTTCCTTATCTCTGAAAATAAATAGAAGCAATAGCAGAGTGCAACAGAAACACCCACAGGAGGGCGCTATATAAATCTAAACATTAGTGATGCCCACTTTCGGAATATACCTTTTTGTTTTGTTCAGATAAATGTTGTATTTCTTCCGCCTATGATAAAAAAGTAACAAAATCACAACCAGAAACATATTATTCGATGAAAAGTCAAATATCTGCTTCATGATTTGGCTCTTAAATTGGTATATTTAGAGAAAACATAATGCATATATAACTCATATAAAACCAATTTCCAGCGTGACCTTAAAATTAAAGATATATTTTCTATGTTGAGGTAAAAACAAGTAAGTTGCTTTCAAATAAAATTTTTAATGAAAAATATTTTTCTTAGATTTTTATACTACTGTATTCTTATATTTCTTTTAGCATAACCCTTACATTTTTGGATTTTATAGTCAAATATAAATTTGTTAATCAATATAAACTGTTTTTCTTTTAACAGTGTCTCATTTGGATTTTACTAATGTATTTCAAACATTTAATTGAACAATTCAATTTAAAATAATTTGTTTTTCTTTAGATTTCACTACAGGCAGTACATATCTTAATGTGAATATTTGATGTACTACAGTATATAATAAATTTTAATCACAAGGAAATTGGTTTACTGATGTGCAAGACTTAAATAGCTATTAATTGGAGAAAATATTTTTTTTTTTATTGTATTTTAAACCCGTCTTTCTTTATTTCTTAATTTTTTTAGTTTCTAACAAACCTTTCTACTACACGCTATTTGCCAAGAAAAACTAAGAAATATACAAAAAATACAGAAATAATTATACTGAACATTATCTTACCTCGCTCTGGGCAATGGCTTCAGCAATCTCCTCTTCATCATTGATGTTTTCTTCCTCCATCTTATGAGCTTCGTCAAGATGTTTCATCAACACCGCCACCACCACATTCACGAGCACAAACTGTGCCATCAGCACGAACGAAACAAAGTACAACGGTGCAATGAACTGATTCGCACAGCAATTTGTTTTACAGTTTGCTGACTTGTCACATCCATCCGATCTGAGCGTGTCCTAAACAAAAAGATGAAATATTGTGATGATTTTTACTATGCAAAGTGTATTACCTAAGTAAAGAAAGAAATGAAAGAACACTTTAATTGGGTCACTTTCCTATTGTGCCAGGGCCCACAAAAATGTTATGAAATGGGGCATGTACTGTAAACAGATGAACAGTGGTAAAGATATGATGCTAAGTCAATTTGATATATCCAAGAAAATGTATATTTTTAAAACTTTAAAAGTCATGTTTTGACAAAAATATGGTTTCAGAGTTCCTAATTTTTAAGTCTGCATTTGATAAAAAAGCAAATAGGATCATACCAATTTTTGATTCTTAGAAGCGATTTTCTTCAAAATATGTTTTCATACATCTGAATTTCAAAACGATAATACACTGTTTCTTCTGAACATTAGGCATTCAGCTCAGCAAGTCTGTCAAACTTTTCCTGACTGTCTTCTGTACTTTTCTGTCATCCCTTTTGTGTTTGTTTTCCTATCCAACCTAATCCTCATACCCTTAGCTCTGCCATTCTTATATATTTTACTACTTTTTTTCTATTTTGTCTCTTACATCTTCTAAAAAAACCCTAATAGAAAAATATCACCATAATTTACCTTCATAATTCCATTCCAGTTGTCACCGGTAGCAACACGAAACAAAGTAAGAAACGCAATAAAGAAGTTTTCAAAAGATGCATGTCGGCCAAGGCCTTCGCAAGGATTATCATCAGTACAATCTAAAAACAAAAATAAAGAAATTAATTTTTTTCCAATATTTCAAAAACAATCGTCAATTACACCATAATAACTCACGACCATGGTAACCATAACAACCACTTACACTATTATTTAAAATTGGTTTTTTGTTTGTTTTTTGTTTAAAAACCATATATATAGATGCTGACCCTTGCAGCATACAATGGCTACGTTCAGACTTGGAGATAAGCCAGGCTTGAGTTAAGCTTGGCTTAACTTTGCCGGGTGTTCAGACTAGCGGGTTTAGCCAGGTGAGAATTTGCAGAATAATGAACAGTAACCAGGAAACCTGTTTCCAAAACATTGCTTGCGAAACATACGCTCGCTCACAGCCTACGTAATTAAATGCTGATTGGTCATTTCGTCACCCGAATTCAATGCAAACCCCCCTCCCCCCGCAACGATTAAAGCCTGGCTTAGAAAAGTTAAACACAGTGGCATGCCAGGCCTAGTTACTATAGGAACACAGCCCGGCTTGAGATAAGCCACCTAGCTATGATCACGGTGCCCCTGCCTTAACAGCTTGACCATTTGGCCTTAAATGTGATGGTGTGAAACTATTAAATAACTTATTATATAACATACTGAGTTTATCGCCTCTTACCTAGTCGCCCAAATAATTCAACACCCAAAGCAGCAAATATGAAAAACAGGAGGAAGAACAGAAGGCCTAGATTTCCAACCTACAGGAAATGACAACATCATTAATTCACTTAGTAAATGTATATAACAACAATAGCAAAATATTATGCATACATATATAAATCATAGATACACAATCATTATCATAATCATAATATTAATTGTACCAAAGTCATTTTTATATTTATCATATTAAATTTAAACACTTAAATATTAATATTACAATAGATATAATAATAAATATAATTAATACATATAATACATATATAAGAGAGCAGGATCTTTTGAAATTGAAGTTTTTTTATTTGTATTTATTTATATAAAAATATATTTTATCTATATGAATATGTATTTTTAAATCATAATTTGAATCATAACTAAATATATTATATTCTTATTTTGATTATATACATTTGGTTGTAATAACAAGTATAGTTGGTTTATTTATTCATAAATTATAGTTGGTAAATTACTATTTGTTAAAAAAACATCTGGCAATCTCAACAGTTGTTTCAACTGTTGTTGTAAAAAGCCAAAAAAAAAAAAAAAAACAAAAACACAAACAAAAAAAGTGCACATCATCTTTTAATTACCTGAGGGAAGGATTTCTGTACCGTGTGGAAAATGGCACGAACGCCAGGTGCAAATTTTAACACCTTGAAGACTAACAGCACAAACAAGACACCAACAACATGCAGAAAAAGGGAGGGAAAAAAGCAGACGATACACAAGTTAAAAATAACATGCAAAACTACATCAAATTACAACATCTACTATAGTCTATCTAACAACACAAATGCTGATATTCTCAAAAGGTGGAGAAAGTCAGAGGGCTAAATTTAGTGAAAAAATCAAGTTAATTTTTTTTAATAAAGAACATTTTACAATATAATGACAACTACAACATAAAGTATAAACATAAAATAGCAGAGACAAGACTTATTAAAAGCTGAATCTGCAGTGCTTAGAATGAACAACCAAAATTAATACAGAAGTGTAATATCTATTATACACGACAAGCGCCTCATTTCCGATAACGGAGAGCAACGTGGCTACTCGAGTGGCGGACGGTTTGCTGCTGACCCCTGTAGCTAGTTCGTAGTTGTCCCAGCGTTGTTTAAACTGCTTCCACTTCGTATGGATTTGTTCACCTGTGAAATCAAGCTGTCCTGGGACGGGTAGCATAATTCTGTTCATCCTCGTCGCCAATGTAATGTTTAAGCCTGCTTTGAGACCATGAAATAACGACGAGGAACACTAGATAACATATAAAGCTGATTTTAATAACAAGGTTGTATTTCGCCGTGTACACGATGGACCGTAGCCATATTGGTAGCCCCTAGCAACTAGAGAGGGCGCTGGACGGATAATCTTTATAATAGATATTACAAGAAGTTATCCAAGAAGAGACTGCTTACATGAATAATTATAACTGAAGGTGTGGTAGCTTTAATATCTCAATTAGTGACAACTTTTTGAGTTGTATTTCTTGTACTAAAGTTTGTTTATGCAACAATATTGGCCTACAAAATCACAACTGTGTCTTTTAAAATTCTATTGCTTTGATAAATGTATACAATACAGGTATATTATATACGGCAATTTGCATGACAAATGATAACCTGTTCTATTAAAATATCCTATTGAGTTTACAGCACATGCAAAGTAAATATTTTCAAGCCAACTATTTATATGTTGAACATTTTGGTAGACTCAACATACTATATAAGAAAGCAGCATTTATATAAATGATAGCTAGAAGCAGGTTATTCTCAAGACAGAAGAAGATCCTCAGATTATAGAAACCTTATTTGTTGAACTGGTACACCAAGGAAAAGGCTTCCCCTGAACTCTTCTATCCATTAAAAATCAATAGCAGTAAAAGACCCAAGATGAGTTATAGTATATAATTTGATTGTAAAGGTCTTTGGTTTGAAGCACTGAAAGTAGTTTGGGACTGAATAATATATTTAAAAGTGCACCCAAAAAAATACAACCGGTGTACATGCCAAGGACTATTGTATGTCAGAGATGTATTGTTTAATAGTTACTCACATAAATATACTGTAGGCAGGCGTAATGAATGGACTCCATTTTTAAACGCATTAAATTTTAAGGAATTTTATCATGAAAATATTTCACTAGTGAATTGGGGGGGGGGGGAAGGTTCACATGCAAATAATATAAGCACCATCATCACGTTCAGTCACACTGTAGGCTACTACATAAAAAACAAAACGACACACCATACATGCAATACAACCGGTGTACATGCCAAGGACTATTGTATGTCAGAGATGTATTGTTTAATAGTTACTCACATAAATATACTGTAGGCAGGCGTAATGAATGGACTCCATTTTTAAACGCATTAAATTTTAAGGAATTTTATCATGAAAATATTTCACTAGTGAATTGGGGGGGGGGGGGAAGGTTCACATGCAAATAATATAAGCACCATCATCACGTTCAGTCACACTGTAGGCTACTACATAAAAAACAAAACGACACACCATACATGCCAGATGGTCAACTGGTACCAAAAATATAAAAACACAACACATCATAAAATAGGAATAACACCGCTACACCTAGCATGCTGACGACATCAAGGTACCGGTAGCATAGGCACCATTGAGGCACCGATACTCGTTACAATTTAACTGTATACTTTACCTGTGGGATTGCTCCCATAAGAACGCCTAAAAGTTCCCGCAAACCTTTCATGGTTTTCATGATTTTTAACACTGGACGGAGTTTGGAGGATGGCAGAAAAAAACAAAATAATGGAATTGTCAGGCTATATTTATTAAGTTGAAAATTACTACAACCTGACTGGAAAGCGAGAAAATTATGGAGTAACCCAAATGTATGGCCATTTCTTGTTTCTCATCGAAAAATATTTTCAAAATATCTAATGTAAAACAAACAACAAATTACAACAAAAATAAGAATTCAAAAAATATATATATATTCATTTATTCATTGGGTAATTAAAGAACCAACGAAAGATTTCAATAAAAATCTGAGTTTACAAATAAGTCAATACCATTTATATGAAAGGGTAACTGGTGTATGAATGAACCAAATAAGCATTAAGAACAAAATTGAGACAATATAAAAGAAAAACATTGCACAAGAATAAATTAAATCATTAACGTATATCAATCAAAATAAATAATTTAAAAAATCTCAACAAAATAAATCAACCACTGAATCATTACAAATAAATCACAGAATCAATTAATCAGTCTATCAATCAATCAATCAATCGATCAAATGACATGTTAACTGCAATATCAATATAAATTCTTGGCCAGTGGAAGGCAAATTTCTGTATCAATCAATCCATCATTCATTTTGTTATTCAATCAATGAATCATTTATGAAATAATAAATTAATCAGCAGGTAGATCATTAGTAAATCACTGAATTCACTGTACAATACCTCTGGCAATTCTTAGAACTCTCATAACTCGTATTATTGTTGGATTGATTGGAATGATGTCACCTTGGACTTCCTCTAAGGCAATACCAACAACTGATAGAATCACAATCGACATATCTAGCTGATTCCACCTGTAAAAAACAATTATATTATATACATCATATATAATTTTGTGATTAAAATATAGTTTGATTAAAGGGTGATGGATGTCATGTATATATATATATATATATATATGTATATGTATATATATGTGTATATCATTGACCAAGCATGTCTTTATGTTCATGCATTTTGTTTAAATAATATTTCTCATTGGTCAGTTTATCATAAGCTTTACTTATAAATATTTTACTTTCACTGTATCATGTATCACTTGAGAAATAAATATATATATATATAATATATATAATATATATATATGTATATATATATATATATGTATATGTATATATATATATGTATATATATGCATGTATATGTGTATATATATGTATATATATGTATATATATATATATATATATAAGAAGAAAAAATAAAGACTTGTTTTTGAGAAACCTCATGATGGACATAGACAAAATATAGTTAATATTTCATAAATTTCTATTTTTCAAAGTGGTGGTAGGAGTAACAGCGCAGTCGGCTAAACTGGTGGTAGCTGCCGTGTGTGCACTGAACTGTGGTGATCTCTAAGTCCTTGGTTCAATTCCCTTCGCTGCTCTCATTGTATTTCAGCTGGTGGGCTGCAATGCATGTTACAGTTCGGATGACACGTTTAAGCTGTCGATCCTGTGTGCATCATGGCCCATGTGCACGTCTAAGAACGCAGTACACTCTTCGGAAAAGAGTAGGGGATTGTTTCCCGTGTACTACCCAATCACCGCCAGAAGGACTGCACTGGCAGCAAGTCTTCTTCACATTTTCGTGGGTTTATCCCTGGTGTTTACATCAAATAAATCCATCCATCCATTTAACAGGCCGAAAATCAAATTATATTTTTATCCAAAATCATTGTTTCACACACACTTTTGTGGCATTCGGCATAAGCATATTGCTCTTATCTGCACTGGATTTTTTTTTTAACTTTTGGCAATTATGCAATAAGTAGATAACGACATCAACTGGTGATTACTGAGACAGGCTTAATGATAACATTGATTAACATTTAATGTAAATTATAGGTCTTTACCTGTCTTTGATATAACGTTTGAAACCGTATGCGTATATTTTCAAGATGGCTTCCAGGATGAATACCACAGTAAACACATAGTTACAGTACTTGAGAATCTCAATCAGGAGCTGCAGAAAAAAGTATAAATAAGAAATTGTTAAACGAAAAACCTAAGCCTTGTAATGAGATAAAGAATTGCATTATTTGATTTATTTAAGATTGCCCTGAATATCAGGGCAATCAGGACTTTCTAGAATATACAGGCAGGGTCACCCTCTATAAATTATTTTAAAAATAATAAAAATATTGCAATGAATAATAATAACGGTATTGATAATGATAACGAGAATTGTTAATAATTATATAAAATTTATGATAAAAATAACACTGAAGTTTACATTAGGTATTTTTAGTACATTGCACTGCCGAACAAGGGAAAATATCTATAAAAAAAAACCTAGTCTCACAAAAATTTAAAATGTTTGCATACTTTTAAACTACTGTATTATCAATTGTTTCCCTCTAGATAGTTAACAAAATACTAAAAGAGGTGTTAAGAAATCTCACTAAACCAGACCTCCCAAAAGGATTCCTAAACTGATATTTCTATGTAGTATGGTCTGGCTGGCATGCAGAAAGAAAAAAATACCATGTACCGCAGGCATATCATAGAATTCCATTCCCATGGTGATTACATTTAGAAAAATAATGGCCGCGATGATCAGGTCAAAATGTTTACTCTCAACGATTGCATGAACTCGTCGTCGTGTTCGTCCATAATCATCCCAATAGTTGGGCTCGGCCCTTTCTGTAAAATAACAACGCATTATGTTGTGTAAGTAGTTCAAAAAGGTATATAAGACTCGCATTGTAATATGGCCTGGATGAAAGACAAGGAAGACAAGGTGAACTATACCACAGGAAGGGTAACATGCAATTTGATATCATCTGTAAGGTAACTTCAAAAATAGCCTGTTAAATTAAATGTAATGATGTCTTATATGTATTTGAGTCATTTAATCAATAATCTTTTTAATACACTGATTAAAATTTAATCAATAACCTTTTAATACACTGATTAGAATACAGTATGTATATGTGTTTTAAAGCTTATTTAAATAATGACATGTTTGTAAATGACCTTTCAACTGATATGTTGATGCCTAGCCTTTATTAATAACGTCATGTTTATTGGGTGAATTATAAACAACAGGCTGTCAAACCGCATTCTAACAAAGTTCTGACAGACCGTGCTTACATGTTCATTGCAACTCAAACACTGTGTTTAGTGAACTGAAATAATGATTATGTACTTTTAAAAGCCTATAATGTCCTCTGTATATTGCCATTGATGCCACGTGATAGTACAACATCCTAAATAATTTGAAAAAAGTCAAGAAGTAGGAAACGCTGTTATGATGAGTGTGCTACAGTGTTTTTGATTTTGATTAACGTTGCAGATGGGCTACCAAACAAGGACAAGGATATAAACCTATGCCGGAATTGTTCATACTCAGCCTGAGCTTCTCAATCCGCCTCAGGCGTTTCTGTTCACGCATCTCGGCTTCTTCAATCGCCTGTTTTTCCTGGCATTTGTGAAAGTTCTCCACCACAACACCGACAAACATATTCAGGACAAAGAAGCCAACGATGAGAAGGAATGAGATAAAATAGATGATCAACCATTCATTGTTATCACGTACAGGCTAAAAAAAAAAAAATTCCACTTTTTATACACAAGCTAATTCTCTTAAAATGTATTAAAATCATTTAAGAGAAAAATACATGCCCAAATTTAGAGATTGGGATCAAAGGATAATTTGTGGCGAAGAAAAGCCAAACCAGTCACTCGTCACAAACATCGATTTTGAGTTATTAATAAAGGGTTAAAAAGTAAAATAAGAGCTATAAAATGGTGAAAGAATCATTTAAATCAGACATTTGGTTATGTAGTTACAGGAGTTTAAACATACAGTTGTTTAATGAACAAATATAAGAAATCAGCCTTCAAAATTTATGATTTTGGGCATTACTTATGCAAGAACTATCATCAAATCCTTAAAAAGTTTTAGCATTAAAAATTGGGAAAGTAACAGCATAGCATGATGTATAGATATATAAAGGTTAGTCTAGTGCAATAAAATAAAATTTAAAAAATTTGACATTTCAGCATGGTGACTGGTTTGGCTTGTCTTTGCCACATTTTTTATAATACAGGGCATAAATCTATTATTAATTACATTATAGAGGGCAGCATTTATCCTTAATGTTATTATAGAGGGCAGTATTTGATTTTTGAAATACTGTTCTCTATAATAAAATTTAAGATAAATACTGCCCTCTATAATATAATTAATGTTAGATTATATTACAGAGAGCAGTATTTATTTTTTTAAAATAAATAAACATTTGTCATACTTGCTGATCAACACCAACTGAGTCAATGCCATTGTACATGATGTCCACCCAACCGTCTTTTGAGGAGAGGACAAATAATGTCATTAATGCCTGTGTTAAAGGAATGAAAAACAGTGGATATCAATGTATTTCCTTTTTTAAGGCAGGATGTTCCAATTCCTTGTACAGTAGTAAATGTTCATACCTCATTGATGATGTTCTTTACATATTTGAATGATGTTGGCTACTCCACACTATTTCGTTTTCCATGTAGGCATTATAGTGTTTTTTTTGTACTAAAAGTACAAATTACATTTTGAACTTGTGCACAGTGGGCCAGTGTTAACTGTACTGGTGTACATGGAACTAGTAAATTGTGGGCTAGTGTTTCTCTTAGACTGGTTCATCAAGGGATAGTAAGTGGACTAGTGTCCACTGGACATATTAAAAAGTGGGCTATAGCTATTGGATTGGTGCACAGTGGGTGGCTAGTCAAATTTGATTCACCCATTTCACTTACCTCTCCTATATTATCAAAGTTGTACTCTTCATTCTCCCACTCGAAGCCCATTTCTTCACACTGTGTCCTGTTTTGTATATCCTGAATATTCTCTCCCACACAGTGAAAGAATTTACCTTTAAATAACTAAAAAAATTACCACAAAAAAAATATTAAACATAATTTTTAAAGGCAAATGAAGAGGATATAAATAATTCTAATTAACAAATATAAATAAAAATATAGATTGAAGTTTATATTGTTTTAACAAATATTAATAAATGAAAAAAAAACCAATTTACATATACACAGAAAAGAAAATAAAAATTGGCTTTTGTAATAAAAAATAAATAAAATATAAATATTTATGCTAGAACTTTATGCAGAACGATAAATCAATACTTATGATATCCACCCCCCTTCCCCAACGTTAAAATGTCACAATACCTGAATACCAAGAATACCGAAGATGACGAAGAAGGTACAACAGATGACGACGATATTACCAATGGGACGTAGAGAGGAGAGCAACGTTTGCACCACTAACTTCAAGCCAGGAGCTCGACTGATCACTCTGTCAATAAATGGCATTGGCTACTGTTACACCAGTCTTAAAGAAATTCCTAATTTTGAGTAGATGTTATTGTCCTAAGGCTGGTGTAACAATAGCCAATGCTATCAATAAAAGCATGGGTGTAGTTACATAAAGATTGATTGACTTTAGTCTATATGACTCATGAAAGCATACTCTGTTGGTTTTGGTTGGGGTGGGATGCATGTTGAATGGTGCGCTTCTGTCCTACGGAATAACGCAAGTCAGCTACAAATCATGATTTGGGCGCCAACATATTTTCAAACACAAAAGGCTGAAATTGTTACTAAAGTGACTCGCACAATAACGCCCTGTATTACACAACTACTCAATTATAATCAATGTTCATACCTTAAAGGTCTCAGGGTTCGCAGAAGACGAAATATTCTTAAAATTCCAAAAATATCTGGACTGGAGCTTGATGCAAGCATGATTATGATATCCAACCAGGAGATGAATACGAGAAAACCGTCCATTACGTTCCATCCGCTCCTCAGGTACGCATGCTTACCAATCGCAAATCCCTTCGCCAAGATCTTAATTAACATTTCGATGGTGAACAGAATTGTAAAGATGTAGTTGGTAATGGTCAAGAACTTGCGCTCCTGCAGCGAGGAAATGAAATGAAATAATAAATAATTAACGTAAGCTTCAAAGTTTCTTTCACGCTAGACCACTGCAAATGAAAATACAATCCAGCATTCTCACATTCAATGTTTAGCTGTTTTAGCCCAACTTTTCATTGTCTTGTTATTTGTCTGATTAAGCGGTTCATATCGAATACATGACATTCAATTTAGGTTTTTCTCATTGATTCTTTAAAAGCCAGTTATACGGGCGAAGCAAAAGCGTATGACAGTACGCATGCGTAGTTTACTTTTCATGTGCAAGTCCTTCACCAAATTATTTGCTTTTTCGTTTGTGGTCGTTCACTTCGGCGAACAGTTTCTACATTTTAAGAAACGAAATAATGCACAACCAATCACAGCTCGGGAAGATATGAATACAGAAACGAATTAATGAATTTACGTGTACGAATTGCAAGCCGACTTGTAATTGGCCTTTAAACCCTTCTTGATCTGTCATTTGTATTGGCAATTATGGTTAGTTTAGGATGTTTTAGTCTTAGTTTTTCCAATAAAAAAGTACAAATAAGTACATGAAGATAAAGAAAATAAAACAATACATTTCATTTCTTACAAAAAACATGAATTAATTGCTTACCCAGTCATCCTCATCAATGGATGGTTTCTCCATAGCAAGTGTGATGCAATTAAGGAAGATTATGACTAAAACCATGTAGTCAAACCACTTCTGGCTAATTAGATGTTGCAGATGATAACGGAACCTTCAAAGACAACAAATGTTATTATATATACAGTAGTTATTTATTTGAAGTTGGAAAGACAGCTCTTAAAACCAAGGTCATGAAAATAAATAACATTTTTAAAAATATATTTAGTACTATTTGTGATCACTGCAGGAGTCATTTGGAAAAAGCAGTTTTATTTTTTGTTATATATTTATATCTTACAAGTTTAGAACCAAGGTTATTAACTGTTTTAAAAAATATTTTTAGAAATATAGCACTTGTTTATCTGATTGTTGTCCTGTTATAAACTAAAGCGTCGTCACGAGGCTAAATGCTACAAAACAAATCCTAGTCTCTGAAATTTTGCCTGCAGTGGCTGTTTCAGTGTAGGATGCCTGAGGTTTAGCCCCTTATAAATTCAAAAAGGCTACACCCCTTTTCCCAGAAGCTCACTGACCTCTGCCAGAAATTGTCAGACCCCACGGCCTGCTGGCCAAATTGGGCTCCTCCCCCAAAAATGTTTATCCTAGATTAACTACTGTTAAGATGGTGAAAATAAATTTGCAATAGCAATTAGCATTATATTATATCATCATTAATAATAATTATTATTATATACCACAATGGTATGCAAGACTCACTTGTTTTTTGGCGATAGAAGATAGAGGGAGTACTCTTGTCTGGTAAGAAAGCAACCTTGTGGTTCAGGTAAACACTTAGCGATGAGCGCAATAAGATCACAATCCTGTAAATGCAATGTAATACTTTACATAACCTACACTTGCATCCATAAGTTTCGTTGTCTGTTTCTTAAATTCCAAAATAGTATACCCATATGGATCCTGCTAACCGTTAGCTGCCGTGCGTTCATACGAGAAAATCCTGATCCGGATACCAAGAATATGATGATCGAATCACTGGCCAATAAGAAACGGGAAATTGTAAACGCGTATGTGTGATTGGTTGATGATAGAAACGTGCTCAACTTGCCAACCGATAGCACTTGCTAACCATTAGCGGTATCCAGATACTGCTAAAGGTTAGCAATAACCGATCGGAAGTTCTCACACGGGGTGCTAACGGTTAGTGCTAACAGTTAGCTTCCGATCCAGATACTAGGGCTCTTGTGAGAACTAAGCTATTATGTTGGAATAAAGTGATACCATATGATTAAAGCCACTATAAAACAACAGTATCTACAGTATGATTAATCTTTGAAAAACCTACAAAAATTGAATAAACGTGTTATAAACTTTCAGTAAGGCTGTATTCTGTTTTTACGCGCCCAACCAAAAAAATCAGACTATGCTTTCATGAGTTATAGTTATGAATTATGCTAGAAAATCAATAGGAAAGGAACTTACTGGCCTAAACAATTTGTACTTGATAAATGTAACTAATGTGCTAGGAAAGATCATGAATGATGTTGGCCATCCACTTAATGGCTTGTATAGCACACTCACCCAAATCCGGAAGACTAAAGCCATTCCATTGTAAACCAAGCGAGAAAGTCTTTTACTTTCAACTCAATTCACATAGCCACTGATAATTTCAAAGATAACATCCCCAGTATATTATATTATGCTATATAGTATCATTTTATATTGTATCATATATATATTTTAATTTTTATCATATTATATTTTTATTATATTATATTGAAATATACGGTGTGTATATATATAGGCCTATATATATATATATATATATACATATATATGTATATATACATATATATATATATATATATCATTACAACGGCTGGCGCAAGACCTGTCTCTTATACACATCTAGATGTGTATAAGAGACAGGTAGATGATAAATATGTGCACCATGTAAATATCTGATTGAAAAGACGCCCTGTCCAGACTATCAAATTTTTTTTACAAAATCATGTGACATGCCTAAATATGGTCATGATGACATCACACCAAGACCATAGGCACTTTATGACTATATATGGGCATACAACAGTTTGTCTGTCAAAGAAAATTTGATGGTCTGCACTGAGATTAACCACCCATAAACAGAGGGAAGCCATGATTCATTCTATTTTATCTATTAAACATAATTAGTGCACCTGATGATATAATGTATTTGAAAATATGAATGTAAACCATATTATTCACCAAACAATGTTACACCAAAATCACATTGAAAAAAAACCAAAAAAAGCTGTTAACCAATTCCCTTTAAATCAGCTATTTTGAGTGAGTATACAATTACAGAAATACTTCATTATAGGATTTTTTTAATTGGATTATTATTAACACAACTAAAATAAACCTTAGCACACCTGAGGACATAAACATTGAAAATGAATACATAAACACAGTAGATACAGAATTGGGTTCTGTAACTACTAACTTAACACATCTGAACATATAAACATTAGCACGCCTATAAAAACAGCAGCAGTTACAGAATGAAGTCCTGTGACTACAACACAAACATATTATAAAGTTAATAAATTTATGTACATCATTATCAGGAACCAAAAGCAGAATAAATACTTAAGGCGGTTAAAAACACAATGTTATTAGTATAAGTATATATTCACCTGATAAAATAATTAAAAATAACTGCCAGCAAACACAAAATTATTAGCAGCCTAATATTATAATTCAATATTCAAAAATCAAGGTTGACATTTAAATTTTTAAATCCATTAATATTTATGAAAGTTAAAGTTTCAAGCACACCAAAAGTTAATTCTTTGCAAAAATGTTATCATGTTTACCTTTACTCTCTCCTGAATTAACGGAAGAACGGTGCAAAACAGAATTGAAAATGAACATGAGGTGTAATGAACGAGAGAGTGATCAACCGTGAATGGGTTGAATAAAAGGAAAGTTTTAAAAAGTGTTGGGGTGAGGGAGATGAAGCATAAAAAGAGTGCATACAGTTAAAAAATAGAGAAAGGAAGGAGGACAATAGAGAGTAAAGGGTTGAAAAACAAAGCAAATATAAATAGTGAACAGGTTGAAAAAAACAAGAAAGGTTGTGATAAACAGTAAACAAGAAGAAATTTGAACCTTATTAAAATGATCTATTCTTTCTCACGCAAATAATAATATTTATATTACCATAAAACCTTGAATAAATTTTTGGATGAGCTTCTTTTCGAGGCTACTTTTGCAGAGTAAAGAGGAGGGTTTTTCTTTTTCAAAATGAATGCTGTAAATTTTGGGAATTACTACTTTAAAACAATACAAGGGCTACTGTAACACCATGTCTGTATCATGGAGTGCATTAACTGGCATTAAATCACCCAAACTACTGTAAACAAATCGAGTTTTTAATCTATTTTGTTTCTTTGAATTTCATGTACACTGTATGTACTGTACTATTTCAAAAAGAAGCCCATCTCAAAAAGAAGCCCCTGGGGTCCTTTTCGAGGCTACTTTGGCAAACTAAAGCTGCATCAATTTGCCATGAAGCCTGGAGATTTTATTACACCTGCAAATACTAAAAGTTTGTTTGTATCGTGTTTATAGCACTATCATTAATATCTAACAATTATTGTAAAGTGAACTAAATAAAGTGCAAATATGTGCCAATAATCTTTCTATGAACATTCCCAAAGATATGTATGACACTAAAATATATCTGAAGGTATGTAATACACATTAATATTTGTCTTGCGTTCAAAAGAATATGATAGGAAAGTGAAAATTAAACCATGAAAAATGAGTGGAAGTTATATGGCAGTATGCCAATAGGAGGTAAAGTGAAACAGAGGGGGGAAAATCGTATGATACACTCACCATACGTTCAGGAACAGGGAAGGCGACAAGCAATTGGAATACAATAGATGAATTTGAAACAGAGGAGAAAATTAATAAATACATTTTATATTATGTGCTAAATATGATTTTTTTTGCAAACTTAGCATTAATTTCAACTTGCTATTAATTATAACTAAATAATGATTGTCAGGCTATAAAATCTATGTTTATTTCTCCTGAAGAACAAGTCACTTAACTGTAAAGATAAAAACATACCAACTATTAAAAATTATTAATACTACTATTAAAAACCTTCTATTTTATCAAGAACAATTTGCTTTTGCTAGAAATGTTTAGCGAACTATACAAAATTGAACACTTGATTAAAACACATCCCAGCCACCCTACATGCACACACCACTCTGGACGTGCTACCTCACCACCTTGTCACGAACACACACACCACTATACATCCCCTATTCTGATACCCTATCCACAGCATATAGCTACTAAATCTCATGAAAGATTCATGCTTTCAGACAAGGTTTTACACTAAGCGAATCTATACACGGAAATCGACAGCGTCGGTTCATGAGAATGCGCATTCACATTTCTATCTGTGTTTTGCGCTTCAGCGAAATCAGTAGTTCAAGCGGTTTCTACTTTTCGCGAGGTGAAAAAAAGTGCAACCAATCAGAGCTCAGGAAGCGAACCAATGCTTTTGATTTGCGCAAATAAATTTGTCTAGTGTAAAACCGGATTCATTCCAGCCCCCTAAAATCTCAAGCCCTTCCAATAATTCACATTCACAACAATTTTCAGGGGTCAGGGTACAAAGAATATTACATCATGGTTACAGCCTGAGGTGGGTTGGTGTAAGACCTATGTAAAGCCTATAACACATTGTTCTCATGGTGGCCCAATTTTGCAGTAATATTTTTGTACTAGCATACACTGTACCTCTTCTTAGCCCGTAATACCAGTCACTTTTTAAAAATTACACTTAGACTAATGAGGGTATGCAATACATATGTGACCTAATGTGCTGAGGTTCCATTGGCATGCAGCATTGAAAATGATCAAAGTGCCAAAACTATTCAACTTACTCTACTGAAGAGATTCTAAAACTTTGTTAAATGCTATTCTATGTGTGCATAGCCGTTATAAATTTGGGGCAGAATTCAGGGGTCAGGGGTCATAAAGCATGATTACCAGATGACAAAAGCCGCAACAATTGCCATCACTTATAGTATCTGGACCAACGTGTCTGGATGAGGAGACTAGGGATGACATGTCCGCGGACACTGGCGCCTTAGGTCAGAATTAAAAGAATAAAGCAGAAGAGATTTTAAGTCCAATTGATTCAGATAGCTAAAAGATGATTACAACTCTTTGAAAAAAACAAACAAATTTAGGCCAAAGATGATTGATGTTATTAAGATTATAATGATGTTGATGATGCTAATTTTGATGTCAGATGATGATGATGATAGTGATGATTACGATGATGATATGATGATGATGATGATGATGATGACGATAATAATAATTCTGGAAATATATGCGAGGTCCCACATACTAAACTTATAGTATATACAATTCTTTCTCATTTGTCCATTTCCATGGATTTGTGTAGATTAAAACACATAAAATATATCGCAGATATTGATTAAGTAAAACTATATAATTTTATCATATAAATAAAATTTTAATCTGTAATAAATTAAATTTCACTTTGAGAGAATATTGTTTAGAGGTGGCTAAAGGAATATACATTAAAAAATATGCAAGAACTACTTACGCCCTCATCAATGGCATCAGGATCCTCACAGATCTCAGGGTCGTCTTCTGCTTGGTTTAACTGCTCTGTGGGTCTATTTACAGCCGTCTCATTCCCAGTTGATAGCGTTGTTGGTCGAAATGTCTGGCTGACGGCTGGCGCAAGACCATTGCATGAACAGAATGACACGCGCCTACTGTTGTCCCCGTTGCAGATGGAAGTCCTTCGACTGCTCTCATTGTCTGGTATGTACCCATTGTGGCTGGAGATGTCTTGTGACCTAAATGTAGAGGAAGTTAATTAGTCGTAGTAGAATAACTATAACATTTGGGCTAGGATCTTGATGACTTGTGGCAGCACACTTTTGATTGGACAGTATACCTGGATATAAAAATCCTGCTCTTTTTCAAACAGTAGTCTATGCATGCTTTTTTAACATGTCCACAAGTGGGCCCAAAAGCTCTCTTTCAAAAGATGGTACACACTATAACGTGTACTGTACCATAAATGCTCGAATAAGCATCGCAGCACTTGTCCAAGTTTTTGGACTCTCCAGTGGAGCGCTTATTAGCGAAAAAAATCATGTTTAGTGAGGCGCATGTTCAAGAGCAGCACTTATTTGAGGGCGGTGCTTATTAGAGCATTTACAGTATTTAACAAGAAGATCAATTCAGTAGGAGCAACAAAGGCATAAAAATCAGCACACATTCGGTTGCTACTCCATGTCTCTCTAAAAGGTCATATAGAGGACATTACTGATCAATAATATTCTTATAATAGCATGCACGGATCATTCAGGGGTGGCACCCAGATTTGCCTGACGGGGGTCCAAAGTCTCCGACAGGTGGGTTTAGGGAGGGCCGATGCCCCAATGAGAGCAAAGTAGGCGTGGTCAAGCATCGCTTCTACTAATATGTAGAAAATACATAAAAATTTTTTTCCTGGGGGGGGGGGGGGGGGGGCCTGGCACCACCCCTGGGATCATTGTCAGTTGTGTGAAACATTTTCAGCATCACTCTTTAACGCGTCAATCCCTTCACCAAGCATAAACAAAATCTCATTATTACGACTTAGATTTTTCACTCTCCTGCACAAATATAGCAGAAAGACACATAGCACAAATAAAATAAAACCAGAAACTCAATAATGATTCACGAAGCACACGATAGACTATACCACTCGTTTTTTAATTAAGCTATGCTGCCCTCTTATGGCAGCAACTTCAAAATTCAACCCACCTGCATATACTGAGGTGACTTCCACAATCACTGTCATACATCCTAAATGGACTCAAGAAGTTTCCATTTATTGGTCTAGACTGGACAGCGCCCTCACTCTGTACACTTCGAGCACTCCTGGCACTTCCTGATCGCCGGAGACACGGTGATGCTCGTAGTGAAGGCGTTTGCTGAAATGAAAATCAGTTTCAGATCAAGTAGTTATTTCAAAATTTAAAAAAAAAAGTGAAATTTAATATTAATAAATCTCTTGTTGTCTCAAAACACTCATCAAGGGCCTGTACGTCCTGTCCCTGAATTCTTCAGGTGTGAAAACTTGTCCTACAATTCAAAAGATCTTGCCTTCTCCCATGCAGGTGTCCAAACTTAACTGTATTTTAAAGAAGTTCCCCATCTTGTCTCCAGGTGTCAAGATTTTTCGAGAGCTCTTCAGATCTCTCATCCTGAACTAAAAATTCTCTGTATTTTAAAGAGCTGTAATCCCTCTTCAGTTAACAAGTTCTCATATTCTCAAAAGCTCCGATGAGGGCAGTATAATAGAGGCAGTAGAGTATGTTGACCCTAACGGCTGCCCATACAATAAGGATTAATTAAGCAATCAGCCGAAAAGATCTATCAGTCGAGTGTTTCTAGAGCTCCTCATCATAATCATCATCCGTTTGTTTCCTCATGGGGGGTCGGATCGTCTCATTATTGTCCCCATCTGGTATGATCCATGATTGCTTCTAGGTCCACCAATCTTCCATCTTGTCTGATGCAGTCCATCCATCTCTTTCTGGGTCTCCACTCTTTCTGCTGCCCATCTCATCATATCAACCTCTTCACATCTCATTACATGTCCGCACCATCTCAATCTGCACTCTTGGATTTTATTCTCCAGACATGTCACCTTTGTTTCCTTCCGAATCTCCTCATTTTTAATTCGGTCCTCTGAATCTGAATCAATACTGACAAAGGACCCCACTAGGGGTCCTCTGTGAAGCTCCACGCATCGCTCTTAAGCATTTTATCCCCGCAACATCCAGCTTCTTCTTCTAGAGCTCCTCATCAGAGCTAAAAATACACTCCCTGAGGTACCCAAAAAACTCTCTATAGATTTTAGTGCATACATTCAAAATTAATACAAGACTACAGTTTCTATTTTATTCTTCATTTCAGCCGCATATTAAACTGGAGTCACAGCCTTACTTACAATTGACAGTGAATCTGAGCCTTTGATGTTGATCGTAGGCCTATGCTCATGGGAATTTTCAGAATGTGGAGAGCCTTGTGGAGTTGCCTCCGTGTGTGTGATCATAGGTGGGCTCTGTAGTTGGTTACAGGGGTTCGGAGCCAGTATTGGAGATGGCAGAGCTGGAAAAAAAAAACGTAAAAATATTTTATCAAAAGTATAACACACTAATGAAATTCAATAATGTAACAAAAGATTTTGGATAGGTGATTTCTGATTCAAAAATCAGAATTAAATAATAAGTTATATGCTGGGTCCATACTAAAATGATAATATTTTTTTAGTAATTTTCATGTAGGGAAATATGTTGGCACCAACAAAAATGATGATGATGGCATGAATGGGCCAACATACCATTTTCTTTATCCCATGGTTCTTGTAAACAACAGTATTCATGATTTAGTCTGTTTTCATCAACCTCCTCCTCAAAATCCCCATCATCTTTATCTTCATCATTTTCCGAGTTATCTTTTTTCTGATCATCCTATAAAATTCAAATAAAAACTATGTTAACAAAAATTTATTAATTCCAATTTAATATACAGAATACCCATTAAATCAAACACTCTCTGTGAGTTACTGCATAAAACATTTATAAGATAACAAAATACAAATAAATATATTGCTATAATTGTTTTCTGTTATAAAAAAAAAATCCCAGAATATTATGAAAGACAGAGGTATATAATACAATAAACAGCAAGGCTGACAGTTGAACAGTTTAAATTAAGAAATTTGCAGGCTAAACTATCTTCCTTAAGGTAAGCTGGTAAGAAATGTTAGATCATTGCAATAACTCTCTCCTTAACTATATTAAAAAGAAACTAAACAATATTAAATAAGACTATGGATAATGAAGGTTATTTGAAAAATAACTAAGCAAAAAATATATAAACAACATTATCTATGCATGTGTTATTCAATTTTGCAAGAAAATTGGGATTTTTTTTATAGATTTTTTAATGAGTGCTGATGATACAAAATTAAAAATAAAAGCAATACAAATATTCAATTTTTAAGCTTAGGTGAGGATAGAGAGTATATTTTCAAACTTTACAAAAATACAGAAAGGAGGCTTATGCATGAGATGTTCTGTGTTGCGTATCAGAAAATAATTTTCAGAGACGAGAATTTCAGCAGTGACATTTAATGACCTATTTTAAGAAAACATGAAACTCTTCAACTTACAGAAAGGAGAATTATATATAAACATTTTCCACTTAAAGCATGGCAGGACGTTAATTAATAAATGGAACAGCAAAAAAGTGTTTACTGTGCCTTTCAAAATGTGTGAATCGCTATGGTTACAGAAGAACATCTAGGCCTGTGCTAGCATCAAGAATACTCTATGTTTAGGTAATGACTGAATATCCTTTCTAGTTGTCTACCGACCTATACATCATGATGGTTTAACTGATTTTCTTTTCCAAGTGAGGCGAGACTTTTTTTATACCATGTTTAGAATGTTTTTGGGTTATTTAAATGTTTCTCTCTGTGAGGCCTGAACCCTTGCATTTTCTGTCACTAGCTGAAGCCAGCCAGCTTTTTACTGTATTTTAACACTGCTCCACCAAATTTTGTATTCCAGAAAGAGAGTGGGCTAAAAACCTATGATAAATATGCAAATTTATATCTAAACAATTAATTCAAGAACTGCTTGAATGCTGACTCTAAATATGAATCATTGCACTACATTGAAATCATATGGATGAGGATATTTTCGATAAAGCTGGTCGTTCCAATACCAAGCCACAAGGGACCTATACAATAGTTGTTTTGACGCAACACTAATCAGCCACGCTCTTATTGCTTTTAACGAGCATTGTATGAGTCGCTTGTTTCATTTATCGTCTCTCTTTCATGGAAACCTAATCAGCAAAGTAGAACAAACACCTTTGGATATCTTAATGTAACTTGCAGGGATGGTCATGACATCTGTTAAATGACCAAATTTTTCACACTGGTAGTTTAAAAATACCAACAAGAACGGAATAAAATGGTCAGGGACAGAGGTGGCCCCAGGTTTTGCCAAACAGGGACCTGATGTCTCAACGAGAACATAAGTGGTTGTGGTCGGGTGTTGGTTAATATTGTAAATCCCCGGAAACTACAGTATGACAACTAAGGGGTTTTAAAGGCTTGATTAAGAGTCTCTCCCCAAAGCACCATGGCCACTCCACCACCCCTGATCAGAGAGGATACGTGCAATTCAGTTCCAAAAGGAGGTGTGACACTATAAATCATTTTGTGCAGGAGTTAGGTTGACTAGCAGGGGGAACACAACCATATGAAGAATAGGAGGTGTCTACAGTTGTCTGAATGGTAAGTGATCTATTAAATGTGATAGAGGCTTACTGAAATTGTCCATATCAAAGGACTTCTTGAGAGAGTGGAAGAAACTTGTAAAATTCTAGTTAGCATCAGAGGAGCTTATTGAGAGAATTCAAAGTACAGTCTGATCCTGATCTGAAGCTAACTGTTATCTTAAAAGTTAGCACTAGCTGCGTGTGAAAATGCCCGATGGGGATAGATGGATCACGATAAGCTGTTCAGGATCGGTAAACAGATCATGACTGCAATAAATTTACCTCGGTTTATAAGCAACCAATCAGATGCTAGCATTTCCCCTTCACAGCAGTGTATCTGTTTTCCTACCAACTTTTGTTATTTTCACCCGAAATCGATGATGTTTCGGCCGTCCTCGCATATGAAATAATTTTCAGTAGTTGTTTTCATGCGGTTTGTCACTCCCACTTCAAGTAAATACTGACCCTACAGAGCTCCCTTTTTTTGGTTTAATTATGACATCAGCATTTTGAACCCTCTAGATCGATAATTTCATGTCCGAATGGAAAGGTGATATTTATCTATCGAGGCTGCATAAGAAGGGGATTAATAAAGATGATTTGGCTGACAAAAAAGAGGAGACTGGTTGTGAAGGGTTTTTGAGAGAGTACATAGGAAGAGGATTAATGGGATTAAATTACTAGTAGCACATGTTATTATAATAATAATAATAATTTTATATTTATATAGCGCATATTGCACATTGCCCCTGTGCGCTTTACAGAGAAATAATATAATTATGAAAGATTATTCAAGTTAAATGTTACAATAAGTTTTTGAGTAACACTGAGTGAAGAACATATGTAAATATTTGTAAATCCTAGTACGATTTGATTATTTTTTTTTTATTATAAAAGACAAATATTGAGAGAGTTTACATTTTAGAAAAAAAAATTAGATGATTATTTCACATGAAACATATTGTAACTATTTAGATTCTACACTTGATGAAATCTAAACAATTTGAAAAATGAAATAATATAAAAACTGACTATTAACAAAACATTTGTCGGTTTTTCATAATGCTGCAGCAATTCGACAAAAAGTTTACAGAAATGTTATAGACAAACCAACAGTGCCTAATTAAATTTAGTTTTAAACAATGTTTGGTGAAATGAAAAGAAAACAACATGATCAGAAGAAATTCTGTATTCCATAAACATACAAGGTTAAAAAAAAAGAACTTAACTGAAGATTTACAGATAGTGGTGATATGAATTGACGTTACAATTACTGCACAATTTGCCTTCATGCAACTACTGTAAACCAGGAAACATCACATAAAACTATTCTTTGAGAAAAATGCTGTTAGTATTACAGCACTTAAAATATTGGGCAGAAAGGGACATGATAATAAATATTAAATATAAAACACAACAGAATATAAGCACAATTATTAATCTTCAAACACAGAGCTATTACAACACTAAAAAAGATCTAGCATAGGAAAACTTACCAACAAGGTCAAAGGTTAGAGAGCGCAGGCAGCAGCAGCAGCAACAATGAATTATGGGAAGCAACGGAATCAGAAGATTAATTAGTAATTAATAATTAGAAATAATAATTTTGACACTCTTGTATAGGCCAGTAATTGATCTCATGGCAACCATTAAGTATCATCAGTAACCAGTGAGAACACATCGTCACATACACATTTTTTTTTCTCTATATTTTGTTTATTACTTTGTGTCTGCTGGAATTTTGATAGCTACTCCATATTGTGATAAGAGATGAAGTATCTATAAAGTGTCGACTGGAATTTGTGGTAATTTGAACAACAGCCCTTACGATCAAATTACTTAGAATTTTAATCATCAATCTATTTTCTTTTGACATTTATGCTCTATAATTGAATTTTCTGTTGAAACATGGAAAGCATTTCTAGTACAAAGAGAATTCTCTTGAATTTTTGTCGTATCAAAATAAATGACTTATCTTCATACTTCTCAATCACAATTTACTGTATAATTGTCAAAAACGACTTGCTCAGACAGCACAAAACAGTTCCTGACAGCAAAAAAACAGAAATCAAAAAAAAAACCAGGACAATATCCACCCAAAATGGACTATACCATTGTTAAAGTTCGGTAGACTGTAGGCTGGAAAATATTGGGTGGCCATGTTTTTATCTAGCTTTACAAATATAGTTTACATTGTGACATTCAGTACGCCTTCAATTCATTCAACTCTTTTGACAAGATGCATGTATGTTCATTGTAAATTTCAGCAATCACTGTGCTTAAAGTTTGCCTTTTAATGATGTTAATACAACACTTATTTAACATACATGCATGTTGTCAAAAGAGTTGAATGAATTAAAGGCGTATAATAGGAAGTCACAATGTAAAATCCTATTGTAAAGCTGGATGAAAACAAGCCAATCCAACATTGTGCACCCCACTGCCCACCCCACTTAAACAATAGTATATTCCATTTTTGGTGGTTTTTGTCTTGGTGGTTATTGTCCAGGTGATTTTTTCCTACACTCCAGGAAACCATTAAGCAAATATATTTTTCCGTATTACAAGCCTGCTTTGTTTCAAGGCAAAATATGACAATATATCTAATTCATTAATTTTTGTTGGCAAAAAGCATCCAGCTAAAATGTTAAATAAACAGTTTTACTTAAGCAACAATTCAAAACATATCTCCATAATATGTAAATGTTTATTTCAGTATGCTACACTAATGTTTAATAAACTAATATATAAAATTTTAAAAGTATGTATTCATTATATTGTACATATAGTAGAAGCTCTATATAAAAAGATGTATTGATCTCTTCATTGATTATCAATATCATAACTATAAAGTAATTAATAGAAAAAAAAAATTTTTTTCAAATATCCAAAGAACAATTGATGTTTTTTTAATAAACGAATACACTTTCAAATTGATAAATAAATTACTGTACTTTATATTTCAAAAAAGGTTGGCAGAATTTTAATTTACCATCAAAAGGTTATTAATAGTAAATGAACTGAAGCACATTATAAAAGAAGAGAATAAGAAGGAAAGCAAAAAACAATGGATGCATATTATTTGTCCTTAAGGTTAAATGTTAAAGCAAAGTTTTATTAAGAATTTTTTTTTTTTTCGGAGAATGGTAATTATCTCTACCTTGTATATACACTCACATGGCATTAACTGTAAACAAAAAATGGCTTCGTCAATGGTTGGGACTTTGAAACCAGACACGCAATGCACAAACACGAGTAAATGGAGAATAAAATGCAACGACACACACAATGGATCATTCTTAAGCCCTCCAGACTATTAAATTATATTTGACAAAAACATGACATGCCTAAATATGGTCATAATGACATCACATCATGACCATATATAGGACTTTATTGGTGATTCCATGTGATCATTGTTATGTCTATTGGCGATTCCATGTGATCATGTTATGTCACATGGAATGTTATGCATTGTATCACAAATCACATGATGAGAGATAGAATGCAATAGACAGAATAATAGATAACAACAATAAAAGCGAGAATACTTTTTACACAAGTTTTTATTTAAAAGAAGCAACCAACATATCCACTACGACATAATGATTGAGAGACAACGTACGACTTCTACTGGATATAAAAAATACATAAAAACCAATAATTTATTATTATTATTAATAACTAAAAAGCAATCAGATATCACTAAAGCTCTGTCCAAACTTCCAAATTTTGTTTGATCCAAAAACTCTTGCATGCCCATTTATAGTCATAATGCGCCTATATATGGTCATGATGTGATATGATGTCATCATGACCATATATAGGGATGTCAATTTTTTTGTCAAACAAAATTTCATAGTCTAAACAGGGCTTATATACTGCTTTAAGCCAAGCACACACTGCACTTGATGGCCGTCGGCCAACGCGATTCTATAAAGAACGCAATACGACGAAGAATGCGCAAAGGATCGTTTTTCTTATGAAGATCCGTTCAGACTGCCACCGACAATCAGCAGACGGCTTTGCGTCGTCTAGCGCTCCCAGGGAGCAGATTTGGATTCATCGTGCGACGATTGTAGGACGCAGTAATTGCCCATCTTTAGATTGATATAAATGAATCACATATTGCCATAAATTGCAAACATTCTTTGGTTTTAGGGCCTGTTTTTGCTGAGCAAAAAAACACATGTTTTTAAACGGTTATTAAAAAACATGTATTTTTTTATTATTCTATGAAAATACTAATCAATGATTCAACTTAAATTTAAATAAATAATTTAATTATACCATACGTACCTCAGCTGCAAAGCCTTCAACTAAAATAGCCACTAGTAAGTTGAAGAGGACGTAGTTACCAAAGGTCATTAGGGCAATAAAATAAAGGGCGGCCCACGATGTGGTTTTCGACATGCCGTTGTAAAGAACAATGTTCCAGTCCTCTTGGGTAAGGATCTGAAATAAAATAATATTGATACATCAAGGGAGCAGCTTAGCTCAGTCGGCTAACCTGGTGGTAGCCATCATGTGTGTGTTGAACCGTGGAGATATCTAAGTCCCCGGTCCAATTCCCATCGCTGCCTCTCCTTGTGTTTCAGCTGTAGGGCTAAAAAACAAGTTACAATAGCGCACTGTCTTTCGGATGAGACATTTAAGCTGTTGGTCCTGTGTGAATTAATGGCCCATGTGCACGTTAAAGAACGCAGTACACTCTTTGGAAAAGAGTAGGGGATGGTCTCCCGGTGTACTGCCCAATTACCACCAGCAGGACCCCACTGGAAATTAGTTTACTTCTACACTTTTGTGGGCTATCCTTGGTGTTTACACTGAATAAATCCAATCCAATCCATTGGTAAAAATAAATTGGATTGATAAATAATAAACATTAATTTAAAAAATTTGTTTCTTCTTGAATTATAAATAATCACTTAGTTATAAGCTTCATCCCCAGGCAAAAAGAAATTCTAAATATAAGTCATAAATTGAATCACCAACATTATAAGAATTTTCTTTTATTCTTAGTGACAAACATAAACAAATAGGAAAGATATATTTTATAAGTTAAGTAACATATTTAATTTTTAATAAACCTTACAATGTGTTGGAGAATGCGCCCTCTATACTATTTAATCTTAAATGACCTGTATGTAAATTATTACAACAGTAGTATAAAATGAAATGCATGCCTTCTTGGGCATCACAGTGATCATGAGGCACTATAAATTTTCATCAGGCTTTTGTGAGTTTGAGTCTTTTGTAAGTTTAACCAGGCTTTTGTGAGTTTTTAGTTTGTGAATTTAACCAGGCTTTTATGAATTTAACCAGGTTAAAGTTTGTGAGTTCAACCAGGCTGTTTGTGAGAACTGGGCTGTTGTGAGTTTAACCAAGCTTTTTGAATTTAACCAGGATAAGTTTGTGAGTTTAACTAGGCTAAGTTAGTGAGTTTATCCAGGCTTTTGTGAGATTAACAAGGCTAAGTTTGTAAGTTTCAAGGGTGTTTAATGAGATTTAATCTCATTAAACATCATAATCAGGTTAAGTTTGTGAGTTTAACTAGGGTGTTTGTGAGAACACCCTCTTTGTGAACTTAACCAGGCTGTTTGAGTTTAGCCGGGCCATTTAACCAGGCTTTTGTGTGCTATTCAAGCTCTGTGTGTTTTGTTGATATATATATAGTATATGCAGCGAGTTTCGTTAAGTGAATGTATGTATACTTGTTGATGAAAGAAAACAAAATAAATAGCTTCATTGGAAAATCTGTCAAAATTCTGTCACATAATGCAAAAATTTTTTGCCACTTACTTGGAAGACAGTTACAATTGCCCACAGCAGCGAATCAAAGTTCTTGCGGTCGCATTCCATTGATCCATCGGGAAGATCGTTACAAAATTTACAGCCAAACAAATGCATTCCTAGAATACTGCAAGAAAATATATAAATATATTTTTATACATTTTTTTTTAAAAATGCACCCTTTGGCACTTTAGGAAATGAATGAATCCCTATATAATGTAGAAAAAGCCATATACATGCTTTAGTAAGTTACTGCAAAAAATATGAATACCACTAAAATCTTCGTTCATTATACTGTGTGAATCTGACACAATATGAGTGCGCTAAACTGCGAAAATCTGCCATACTGTGTGTATCTTCTAGTTATTTTTATATCCATATTGTATTTTCCTCTCACTGTTAAATCTTATCCAAGAAAATTTTATAAATTGAACAAAACTTTAAATTGCGCATGTTGAGTCCTATACTAATGTGTAGAGCATATTATTATTTGCTACTATAATGAGATAATGCCCATTAGATGTACCGTACTCGCATGAATAAGCGCCCGGGCGCTTACAATATTTTTTGCACTTTCTCAGGGGCGCTTATTCAAACAGGGCGCTTTTTTAAACAGGGCGCTTATGAAAACAAGGTATGAAAACAAAGTGGAAATTGGGGGGGGGGGGGCGCTTATGAAATAGATGAAAATCGAGGGGTTCTTATGGGAACTTAATAAATTCAAGAGGCACTTTTTGAATGAAAAATTATTATATAAGAACATTACGAATGGTGGTGCGGCAGAAAAGATAATCCTCCCAAGAACATGGCACATGACAAGAATGCTGTGAATATTAACATAACAGCGGAATAGCAGATGCAATTAGTGGTGGTGGGTAATTGTTAGCTTGTTGGCCATCGGCCGATAGAGACTAGAAGGATCTCAGGATCATTGCAGGTTTTCTTGAAAACTTAGATGAGAATGTGCTAAAGGTGCAAACTGTCAGAAAAAGAAAAAGAGGAGTTGGACTAGGCCTAGGCAAATATATAAGAAGAGAAAAGTTGGAAATATATACTGTCTGTCCAGGGATCGGTGAAAAATTTCCTCATTTTTGATATTAACCTAAGAAGAATGGTATTCCACTCTGCAGTTCAAATCATGCCAACAACCACAGTCCCAGGATTGATTGGATTACTGACTTGCTAAAAAAAAATCTTATATTATTGAGGGGGCGCGTAAGGAAATTTTTGCGTTAGGATGGGCGCTTATCTGAGAGGGGCGCTTCTTCAAACATTCCTCATAAAAAAAACTGGTCTAGAAAAACCATATGAGAATTTCTAACTCTCCAAGTGGCACCTATCTCAATTATAGCCTGGTCTAACTCTGCATTACCACACACTGATACACATGCCATTTCTCTCATGCTTATCCTGCTTTACGTAAGAGACTTCCTCGTTAATTGCACTAAATCATCTACTCTTTACCACATCCACGGTTTCAATATCAATTAGTCTGATTTATAGGCATTAACAGCACTGAAATACCCTGGCAGGTTTGCAGGTTACACTGAGTGTCTTTGGCATGAAATATATACCTGTAATCGTGTCGGCACGTGTAGATGCTATAAAGAGAAATATATGGCTCGGTAATTGTTTCCGCGCAAATATCATTAATCTACAGTAGCACCTTGGTGTAAACCGCTATGAAAATAAAATCTATGTAGGAAGGGGCAGATCTAGAATTTTTCAAACAGGGGCAAAACATTTTCAGAATAGATAGTAGTGCTAATTTCAATACATAACATTAATACACAATGAAATTATAAAATTTCAAAGCAGGAGGAATGCCCCTCCCCCCCCCCCCTTCCTTTCTGGATCTGCACCTGGTGGAAAAAATTATATTTTATAAAATGTATTTTTTCTCATGGAAAGCAAAAAACAATACTTAATAGGATTTTTAAAAAATATATGGCCAAATAAAATTAATTGCTTGTTGCAGTTCCTGCCCTTACCAAATTCATGAAACAATTACTATTCGCTATTAAAAAAAAAATCAATCTTTTTTCCATGGAAAATAAAATTAATCACAATTGAAAGATTGTCGCCAAATCCTAGGCAGAGGTGGAATTATAAATTGAAGTATACATTACAAAGACTCGTTTTGGCTTTTTTTTCTTTCATAAATTTATTTATTTACCAGAATATCAAAACCCGGACGTGAAACAATTAATTTTCTTTGGCCTAATTCCACTAATGCATAATAATTTATAAAAATGTTAAATCTAAAGAAACAATTTTAATAAACCCACAAATGATATAATTAAGGAATTTAAACATACAATAAGACATAAATAACAATACACTTTGTTCTCTACAAACCTAAAAATAAAGATAAATAATGCCAGGAGTGTGAAAAACGTAGCGACGTTATCCATCGTCTTGAGCATAATGAGCAGTTGACGACGTAGTGCCGGCATGAACCGCACCAGTTTGAGGATTCGGAGTAACCGGAATGTCCGTAGCACGGTAAGACCGCCCTGGCCATTCTGAGCAATTTCAACCACACTGAAAGAGTAAAGAAACATATTTAATGCCATCAGTTTTATATATAATGCATCATGAGAACAGAGGGTATGTGATTCACATTTCTTTCATCATTGGATCAAACACCAATATAACATGGGGTCGCAAGTGTCCCGAATGTTGCGAAGTCTCCCGAATATTTGCACGACCTCCCGCACTCCAGCAAGCAACCAAAAATCTCCCAGAAATTAACCCATCTCCGAAAAAATTCATAATGTGCATGTTTTCACTGCTTTATTATCAATTTTATCACAGAAGTCAGTGCCGATGGGTAATAATTTGTGAAGCAAAAAAAAATTAAATGTGTTAAGAAAGCTCATTAACCAGATCAGTGGTGGATTCAAGGTGGGAGGGGGTAGAAAAGAAAATTATACATAAGCCTGAGAGGGCAATTCCTGTCATCTAGAGGTGCCATAATCATTAATTTTCCTACCTCAGCTCCAACTATGGTGGGGCCGAGGTGGTAGACCCTCCAACTGTGAAAGTCCCTCCCTACTCCCTAACTGAAATAAAAAATTGATTTAATGAATTAAAGAGAAAATAAATAATTAAAACTAACATAAATAAAAAATATCTTGAAAAAAACAGATTTATAAAAAATAAATAATTTACTTTACAAAAAAACAAAGCAAAATCAAGGTTTTGCTTTGTTTTTTAGCTCCGATGAGGGGCTCTAGAAACACTTGGTTGATTGATAAATATATGCTTTTTAGAACTACTGCCTCTATTATACTGCCCTCATGAGGCGGATTGATCAATAATTTATTGAGCAATAGATCTTTTTTAGTTCTACTGCCTTTATTATACTGAACTCATGAGGAGCTCTAGAAATACTCGGCTGATTAATAGTTGATTATTACAGATCTTCTTTAGCTCCACTGCCTCTATTATACTGCCCTCATCGGAGCTTTCAAAATTACGAGAACTTGTTTTTTGTGAGTACAGTAATATATACTCCTGTGGAGAGCCAAGAAAACGGTAAACTGCCTGAATCACAACCACTGCCATAGTTACCGTATGTAATCATCATGATATCAAATGAAAACATTATTAACTTTTTCCACACAGTTCAAACACATTAAAGTTGTAATAATTAAACAAACATTTAAAAAAACATTGAATTGAAGCTCATTCAAAAGGATCGATAGTTAATTAAAGGTAAAATAGAATTTTGAAAGTAAATTGATAGCAAACCAATCTATATTATTCACTTATGTTCTTTTCTATCAATCATATAAAATCCGATGTTTGTATTCTGCTTCATTCTTCATTCACTGGACAATAATTTCAATCTTTAAATTATGAAACAACATGTATCTGTAAAACATTACTCATATAACCATCAATAATTTTTTTCTAAACATTTTTGGTTCAACAATCTCAGTACACACGGCATAAATTATTTATTACGTCCTTGATAGGGGTATGAATGATATGATGATTATGGTTATCATATCTGAAACATCATCTCCTAATTAAGCTGACAGAACATTCCAGAAAGCTAAAAGTTTGTACCAACTGAATAATCAATCAAGCATTCGCCTCTTCTTGTTAACATTGTTCTTCACTTCTGTGACGCATCTCCTTATAACAACATTCATTCACTGAAACATTTTTTTTATTCTTTAGCTAATTAGTAATCTTGCCAAGTATACAGTAAAACAAAACAAAACCCTTGATTTAATGCTCTATAAATATTCGAGTCTAAATAAGAATCTCTGAGGGTTCAGTGATAATTATTATCACCTATATCCATATAATTACACTTACTCAAGGCATACAGACACAATGCAAAACTGGTGCACTCAATAAAAGTCTAGGATTCAAAACGATCTCAAAACAACAATACTATATAATGATGATAATAATATGTTGTAATTAAATGTTGAGTTAAGTTATTAAAACGTCTTTGAAAATTAGAAGAGCATTCCATAAGAGGTCAAAAAGTCATTCACTGAAACATTTTTTTTATTCTTTAGCTAATTAGTAATCTTGCCAAGTATACAGTAAAACAAAACAAAACCCCTGATTTAATGCTCTATAAATATTCGAGTCTAAATAAGAATCTCTGAGGGTTCAGTGATAATTATTATCACCTATATCCATATAATTACACTTACTCAAGGCATACAGACACAATGCAAAACTGGTGCACTCAATAAAAGTCTAGGATTCAAAACGATCTCAAAACAACAATACTATATAATGATGATAATAATATGTTGTAATTAAATGTTGAGTTAAGTTATTAAAACGTCTTTGAAAATTAGAAGAGCATTCCATAAGAGGCCAAAAAGTCTTATTTCCACCGGGGGTCCTTCTAGTGTTGATTTCATGATGTCACCATATGTGTGATGATGTCATCTAACATGCCTTATTAAAATGATGTCATTTCACAATTGCTGTTCATGACATGATGTCATCATATGTATGATTTCATGATGTCATCATATGTGTGATTTCATGATGTCATCACATGTGTGATGATGTCATCTAACATGCCTTATTAAAATGATTTCATTTCACAATTGCTGTTTATGACATGATGTCATCATATGTATGATTTCATGATGTCATCATATGTGTGATTTCATGATGTCATCACATGTGTGATGATGTCATCTAACATGCCTTATTAAAATGATGTCATTTCACAATTGCTGTTTATGACATGATGTCATCATATGTATGATTTCATGATGTCATCATGTGTGATTTCATGATGTCATCACATGTGTGATAATGTCATCTAACATGCCTTATTAAAATGATGTCATTTCACAATTGCTGTTTATGACATGATGTCATCATATGTATGATGTCATGATGTCATCATGTGTGATTTCATGATGTCATCACATGTGTGATGATGTCATCTAACATGCATTATTAAGGTGATGTCATTTCACAATCGCTGTTTATAATATGATATCACTTGTAGTAGTCATATCTCACAAGTTGTCTTGTTATAAGTGATGTTATCTCACAAATGATGTCACCTCTTTAAGAATTGAGTACAACCATGGAGGAAATATATTATTATATTTCCTCCATGGTACAACAGAGAGTGTAGTGTTATATATATCCTCCATGATTAGAAGGAGTTGAGCTACTTTCCTTTTTTGGACCACAATGGAAATACATGTGCCAGTTTGGTACCTTTATTGTGTATCTATTCTTTTTTATATTATTTTTCTATTCAGAATAATAAAATAGAAATTTACACACACAAAAAATTTGTTTTAATTTTTTTTTGAACCATTAAGACTATCTGCAGTATTGGTGGTCTATCTATCATCAGCTGCCCATCAAAGCTCGTCCTTCCGTTTTCGGCTGTCAAGAATTAATAAATCATCGCAACATCGGGATAAGTAATGTACCTGGCCTTCGAAATACCTCAAGTATCTGATGAATGTACCCTTAGCTGTAAATATCTTAATATAGCTGCCAACATTCATCATACAACATGATCCCATTACATTAAAAACATCAGTTGATGTTGATACATTTACGGTATATTAAGTGAAGTTATATGCAAATATGCAAGATGCTATATTTAGAAACGCATCAAACTTTTTTACTCTTACCTGATAATAACTATTGTACCGTCAAACACGTTGAAACCGTTGCTAACGTAACCAATCACACCGTACGCTAATATTTTGAGTATCATCTCCAGGCCGAATATACTAGTGAAGATTAGGTTGCTAATCTCAATGGCTTGTGTTAATTCTTCAGGCTAAATGCAAAAAAAAAAAGAAGGAATTGACACCATTTCAAAATTAATTAGAGAATTTAAATGAAAAAAACAACCAATGACATCAGGTTGATAAAAAGAATTATTTGAAGAGTCAATGACATCCCGATCAACTCCCCAGGCTCCAAGAAAAAAATGTTACACTTGCATCTTAATGTGAACACGAATGTCTGTATAAGAAAATATCATCATCAATCATAAAATGAATTCATCAATTAGGTTTGAACTCAGTTTGAACTTGTAAAGTGAAATATAAATGAAAACACCTATGAAATACATAAAATCAATTTTTAAAATTTCCTAGGCTACATAAAAAAAATATAACTGTTTATTATACATATCAATATTTTATGTTTCTTTTATTAGAATCAATAGATATTTGCGATTCACTTGTACTCTGTCCATAACTTTTTGTTTGATGAAACATTGTATAGGATGCTATTAGATATGTGTTATGTTTAATATGACGTAGCATGTGAAGGATGCTACAACTACGGTATGTCACACTTACTTTAACGTAGCCTTGTAAAGGATGCTACGATTCTGACATGTATACTATGATATACTGTGTGAATGTTACAATTGTGTTATGTTTATATTTTTGTAGCAATGTATTAATTATGCCATATCATGTTCACTTTGATGTAGCATTTATGAAGAATGCTACGATTAGATTATGTTTACATTGACAAAGCATTGGGAAGGATGCTAAAATATTGTGTCATGTTTATATTGATGTACTGTAGCAATAAATAGTATATATATGCTATGCTACAACTATGTCAAATTTACTTTAATGTAGCACTGTAAAGGATTCTACGATTCTGTCATGTATACTCTGATACACTGTGTGAATGCTACAATTGTGTTATGTTTATATTTTTGTAGCAATGTATTATGCCCTATCATGTTTACTTTGATGTAGCATTTATGAAGAATGCTACGATCAGATCATGCTTATTTTGATAAAGCACTACTGGAAAGGATGCTACAATTGAGTGATGTTTATATCAATGTAGCAATTTGTAGTATATTATATGCTACCATTACGTCATGTTCACTGTGATATAGCATTACAATTAATATGCTTACTCTGATGTAGCAGTGTATAGGATGCTACAATTGTGTCATGTTTACTTTGATGTTGCATTTAGTAAGATGCTATGGTAGTGTCTAATTATTAACTTAAATTCAGCATTTGTGCAGGATAATAAAATGCATTCTACTTTAATTGGAAATTGCAATCCAATGTCAAAATGAGCATTTAGAGACCTCTGCATTAACAAATACATGGAGTATAAGAACACACTTTTTAAAGGAACCTTTAATAATTGTGAACATATTCAATTATTATACTTCTCATTTTGAAAATTAAAAATATAACCTCGCTCTATACATCTTTCATCAATGTTTTTGCATTACCAGACAGTGTTTTATGCAGTCTGATTAAAATATTCTATTAGAACCATTTCCCAAACTGGCTATAAAAGACAACATAACCATTGATATTCATATTTATAATCACCATCATTATGGCAATATATAATTATTTTGAGAAGGAAAGCTATAAACAGCCACAACGCCTTTAGGTCCAATTTGGAACCCTTTCAAAAGGTCTTCCTAATAATAGCAAAACACTGCAAGTCATTTTCTTATTAGGATCCTTCTATCTACTATAATAGCTGGATTACTCATCGGCCAATCATTGTACAGAAATAAGTTAAGCCACCAACGTCATGTTGGGGGAGGGGGTGGCCTACGTGACCAGTTCAGGCAAGTTCCTTTTGGCATTTGTTTGAATTATTGTTAACAATAACGATTCTTACAATATTTTTAACACTAAACTTAAATTTAACTTAAGGATTTTTTTCAAATCATTAAACTAATCAATGCGACATTTTATGCAGTTCACAAAAGCGCAAGCAAATTCGCGTTGTAAAAGTGACGTCAGTCATTAACAAGGCAATTAACTTCGCTTGCACTTTTTTAAACTGCATAAACAGTCGCATCGAGTTGTTAAGTAATAATCATTATTTTAAATTTATTATTTATTATTTAAAAGTATTGCAAGAATGGTGATTTTTAACAATAATTTTGAAAATGTGAAAAAAAATTTATCTAAACTGGTACGTCACTTAGGCCCATAAACATGGTGTTGGTGGCTTCGTTAAAACCAGCCAATGAGCAATCCAGCTTTCAGAAGAGATCAGTTGAATTTGTCCATTTTCATGGAATGCTCATAAAATTTAGATTTTTTTAAAATCAGTTTTTAATAAAAAAAAAAATAATTTAAGATGAAATTGCTCATGTCATGTCACTAATGTAACTTTAAGTTCTGTTTACACTATATTTCTTTGACACAACACTGCTGTATGTCCATATATGGTCATGATGTACCTATATAAAACCGAAAGGTCCACTGATTAATCTCAGATAAGAAAGTATAATACATACTCCAAGTATTGAAATACACGCCATCGTGTTGGGATTCAATATTTCGACATTAATTATGTCATCATCAGGAATATATGTACCTATATATGGTCATGATGTGCCTATATATGGTCATGTGATGTCATCATGACCATATTTAGGTATTTTCTCTCTGTGTATCATTTATAATTGTTAATGTCAACTGTTAGCCTGCATTAAAATTTTCCTTTCTTTATTTTTTTCTTTTAAATTTTTAAAAATCTACTTTTAATTTTTCTCAGTACAGTTGGTCACATCAAACTGGCATCCAGAATTACATAAAATACAAGACAAATAAATGAAAAGTCTACTGTCATATATTCATCTAATCATAAACAAAATATATAAATAAAACAAAATAAAATATAATTATATACAGTATAGCTCTATTAATGGTAATGAACACTATGAAGTTCATAGAGTACCACAGTCGTGTCGTCACAACGCCAGGTGGCGCTCTCTGTTGTCAACAGACGTTGGTCACCGTTCATTACGCCTGAACGACTTCATAGGCTTTCTGGAATAGGCATTTTAAAATCTAAATATTTTACCATTAAAATGTACTAAAAAACACAAAAGCTCGCATTATATTAGTTATCGAACACACATTTAATCATCAATTAAAATTTACAAAGAAAAAGTAAGATACAACATCTTAATAATTACGTTAGAAATTGGGATCAATGGTTCGTCAGTGGGGAAAATGGCGTTCGGTTGAACATTTTTTGCAACGATAGCAACGGAGTGGTATCACATGGTTTCATGATATAACACCGTAGTACTCAATGGAATATAGTCTCTACATATCACCTCATCATGATCAGATCATTATCATCATGATCATCTGGATCTGGACCGCTGGGGTATATGCACCAGGGGGTACGTCTCTCGGTGTGTACACAATACATCAAACCAGACCAAACAATACCATTTAGTGCAATATTAAAACCACATAGCAATTACCAATCAAAACAGTTTGACAACAACATCAACTTTTTTCTTTTTAGTACATGACAATCGACTGCTTCATCGAATTGAAGCCAATAACTTGACAGCAACGATAATTGTACCATCATTTATGTTTGTCCAAAGTGCAGATTTTAAAATAGGTAATGATTTAGCTTTGTTTAATATTCTCTGGCAATAGATTCCATGCCATTATAGTGCGTGGAAAAAAAGAAAATTTATATTTGTCACTTGAGCATCTTATATCAATAAGGTTAAAATTACTGAGGGATGGAATTGAATTGAATTATTACCGTATTGTGTATGTACTAAATATGGCAGACACATGACTTATGAATGCTTCACATCAACATAACATCATAAAGCCAGTTGAAATCCCAAGCGGACGTTTCCTACGTTAAATTTACATCTTCCAGACAATACTCATGGCAGATAAGGACAAGCTATAGACAACAACAGCTAAGTTTATTTAGCATGGCCTAAGACAGATTGCAGTGGAATAAATGCCAACAATGCGTGAAAAAACACATTAAACACAAATGATGATGTTGATGGTTTAATATTTATTTTCTATCCCGTGTGTTATTTCGAGACATAATGAAAATAAATAACTAAATTTAGCCATTCCGTCTAATAATTAATTTGTGACAAGATCGTTGAATGTAAATAACAAAATCTCGAAGGGCACTGATCCTGATCATTAGCACAGTCAGCAATACTGTTATAACATCAAACATTGCTTTGAAGAATGTGCATAGTGAAATTCATATATCTTCATTTGCCAACGGACGCGTACATTTTAACGCCAAAGTGTGTAGCAGATTCAGGCACAACAAGCAATATTGGAGGATGAACAGCATGTTATTCATCATATTTATATTTAAATTTAATGTGGACTTGTTTTTCTGAGAAAGACAAACGCTATCATGAATAATAAATTATTCATAAGTCTTGAATCATCATCTTTCTTAATATCATTCCGACTATTGTTTTTAAGGCTTTTAAATTTCTAATAATGTCGATTAACAAATTTAAAAGAAACTAATTTAAATTAATCATACTATACATCTTTATTTCTTTTTAAAATGTTATTCTCCCCACATCACTGTTATACACTTTTCAATGAACTAACATTTACTTTTTATAATTATGTTTTAGTTTGAGTAATTTGGGGTGGGGGAAATCAAATATAGAAATACACATATGCAAGTTTAATGGTTGTAAATATTATGTATAGGTAAAGATTGTAAACTGATAATAAAAATACTATAATAAAAATGTCAAATTATTGTATTAATCAATCAATCATTGTTAGGACAAGGTCAAGGTCTTGTTTTTTACCTTGGAGCATAAAAAAAAATAATAGAATTACACACATACATGTGTTGTCCTGCATTCAAGAACATGACAGAGGTATGCAGATACTATAGTTAAATTGGTTTTAGTTAATTCCAGGAGTCGGATCAGTAAACGATTTGCGGAACAGGTAGATCTTAAGGTTCAATTTCAAGGTGTTAACACTACAGGTGTAAAATAAGTGAATG